TTTTACAATTTTTCTAAGAATCTAACTCTCCAGCCCATTGCGAAAATCACGTACATAAACGAGATCGCTCAAATGAAGCGTTCTCAGTTTGACGTCAGTATTTTTCGCCCTTTGTGTGTGTGATTCAACAAACAACAATCTTGAGCGGTCGTAATCGTGGCTAACCTTATTTGTCAATCCAGAAGCAATTCAGCCGGAGACTTCTGTTCCTGGATAGCTTAGTCTGAGTCAAGTTGTTCGTAAGGTGGTGGTGGCGCAGTGGTCTAGTCGCTGTCATCGGCGTGCTTTGGACCCTGTGGTCCGAGGTTCGAGCCCCGTCACCCGACTTTGGTGGCAAGAAGCTCTGCTGTTCAATACCACACTTAACTTATCGAGGTTTTATATGGTTCGCCACTCCAAGTCCTGGGGCTTAGGTTGTCGGTTTCTACCTCTAAAACAGGATGTCCTCGTGACTTTGGGGTTCGCCCCGTCCGCTGTTCACACTTAGATGTGTAATAAAAAAGGAGGAAAGCGTCAGTTGACCGTTGTAGTTTACCCACCGTCTGTTTGATCTGCGAACGTCGAAATGTGTCAATAGCTCAACTGTCCTTGACCATTCGCCTTTATATATTACACTGGATCAGTGGTCAGAGGCACTGAATGTCATAAACAGTGATGTTCGTGCTTCTTCCCATTTCCACCAAATCCCTCTCCCCTGAAGGATGTGTTCGAAGCTCACCACCACCTCAATTTCCCCATTCTGTTTTGTATTACATCCGTTTGAGATTGGCCGCTTCTTCCTTCCTGTCAATTGTATATTTGTGTATCCGATAAAAAGAAGTAAAAACGAAAAAGAAAAAGATTGCGTTATTATCTCTTTATAAGGTGTTGGAAACATGCTGTTTCAGTTTCAGTTTGTACAACCATTAACCATACACTATCGTGCGCCGGTTTTGGTTGCTGTCTTTTGGCTTCCCATTCGGATGCACATTAGCAGAAAGACAAGAAAGGTTGAAAGTAGGACCAAGGAGAAAATTTAGAACTTCAGTGGACTAATGTTGCAGAGAAATTGACAAGATACACGAATACCACTGTTTATGACACTCAGCCGTATCACTGAGTGTTCTATTTCGCCTGTTCGCCGAGCTTGGCAATTTGTTTGCAAACGTTTCATCACCAGCCGAGGTGACATCATCAGTGCTTGTGAAGTGGCAGTCTTCTGCTTGTGTCCGTTCATTTATATTTGTGTTCTCCACCGACTATTGTTGTCCCTTGTGCTCATTGTGTTCGACTGG